GAGTCAAAATAACATGTTCAGCCATGTTCAGTGTAAACTATTCAAAGGCAGAGGGACATGGCATGTATTTTAGAATAATTGAAAATATATATTGTTTAGAATTCATCATTTTTTTTGAAGGAATACACTTTAAGCATGCAGACACATCACTTTGAGAAATAGCATTCCCCAGACTACCTGGGTTGTTTAGATAATGAGCTATTTAAATAATTTTGGGCCACAAAATCAAGATATATATTCAAATAATTAATGTTATGATTTATTTCCTACATGCTTCATTCAAGGTTATACTGATGCATCAATCAAAGCATTGTGAATAATAAGATCTCCTGACATCTAATTTCCATTCCTATTTGAAAGTACTCTCAGAATCTTCACATATTTCAAATAAAGCTACCTATTTCAGGAAAAGAACGAGCTAAATTATTATTAAGACAGTGTTTTAAATATTTATGATTCATCTGAACATAATGATTAATGGGACCTAATCCAATAAAAATTATAGCCATGTGAAAATAAATATATATGTAAACAAAAATCCATTACTCGGTAAGTTCTTCTATCCTTTTTTCCACTAGAGTGGGGGGCACATTAGAAACAATGACTTGCATATCCAGCTGATTGACCACAGAGACCTGAAAGAAGAAGAAACATCAAATGTTTGGCTTTTATTCATTAAAATTTCTATAACTGAAAATAATATTTTTATTTCTTCCCTACTATGCATAGACATTTTTAAATTTAGGAATAAATGTTATTTTTAGTTATACAATCTCCACTGGATGTTGGGGCATGTTGAAAATTATAGACTGTTGTGTACTAAGAAGTTACAGAACCTTAAGTGACTTTGACTGTTGCAGATTTTCTGTTTATTTGTTTGTTTTCTTGGTTATTTACTAGAGCTTGAAAGAAGGTGTTTTTGTTTGTTTTTTAATTGGGTTATTTAAAAACACTCAGAAAAGGGCTGGCTGAGTGGCTCAGTTGGGTAAGAACTCGCTCAAGAGTTTGAGCTCTGAAAAACAGCAGTTCAATGCCCAGCCCAAGCTGAGCTGCTGCTGAGCTGTCAACAGGTGGCAGGATGGCTCAGCTAAAAAAACCCAAAAAAACAAACAAAAAAAACACTCAGAAAAATGGAAAACAAAGACTTTAGGCTTTATAAATTTTAAGAAATCACTTATTCATTGTAACTAAGAATCTGGGATATGACTAGAATAATTTATTCCATAAATTCATCATATATAGTCTTTATGTCTGCTTTGTCCAACTTTGTGTAGGTAAAGATTATATATATATATATATATATATATATATATATATATATATATATATACACACACACATATGGGGCTAAAATGAATTTTAACAGCTGTGTATGAATTTCCTATTCATTTAATATTTATGGAGTTCTTTCTGTTCTTACTTAGAAAAACGAAAAAAAAATGAAGCATTTATTCCCTTCTTATAATGTATTCTTTTACTTTTCCCCCTCAATACGCTACAGGCTTTGACTCATTTAACTCTATCAACTACTATATCAGGTAGTTATGACTATTATTCCAGTTTTAAATCAGAAAACTGAAAGAAGAAAAAAGAAAAGCAGAGATATTTAATAACTTTGACCAGATTACTGTAGGCTGTTTGATTCCAGAGCATGTGCTGTTTACTATGACCCAATACAGATATAAAAGATATAAAGTCAAATCATATATTGTCCTGCATGTATATTACACACTATTAAAATTGTGTAAATGCATATGCACCAGGACCATGAATTGAATATTCTGGGTTAGCTATATTTAGTAGCATAAATCTGAAAATAATTTATTGTAGTCGATGATTTCACATTTATAAGTATTTTTGATATAGGCTCCACGTTGTCTTCATATAGGTGCTCATAGATGTCCTATCAGGAGTCACAAATTCAATATTTTCATGGACCAAACAGGTAACCAAAATTAATGAAGTAGCCAAAAGTATGAAACGATAGGAATAAGTGGAAGTAAGCCTGTGACTCATCAGAAGAGGTCAACTACTAGCGCTTCTCCAGTGAATATTACCATGTGTTAAAACAGGTCCAGATTTGCTGGATCTTTCAGTTTTTCAAGAGAAGAAATTCAAAATATGATGTGAAATATTTACAGCTAATTAGAAATCTTTCACATCATTGTGTAAGCCCCATAATTCATGCTTTGCAGGCTATATGAAGCCAGGCATCTGTTTCATTACCACCTATGAGCAAATAGTTAACAATGCCTGCCTGTTACAGCCCTGTATCACTAACTCATTATAGATGTCTGGGACCAAAGGTTTAAATTTTCCTCAAACATAGATAAATCTAGATTTTGTCTTCACAAGGATAACTTCGTTAGACAAAGGATTATCACAGTTTTTGTGTAACTTTGTCTTTTCTTACCCAGCCCTGAGTAAAAAAAAAAAAAAATAGAGATAGAAGTTACACAGAAGCAATTTTTGTTTTATTTGCTTGTTGATGTATTTATGTTTTTAGCAGTGTAAATAAGTAGCACAAATTTCTAGAAATATATATATGATAATTGTAAAACTGTTTTCTGTCTCTCTTCTTCCCTTCCTTCTTTCTGTCTCACCCACCTTCCCTCTCTTTTTTTCTTCTCTTTTTTTCCCTTTCTTTCAATACTGGATTAAGGAACATAAAAAATAAAATTAGATAAAATAAAAATAAAAATTTTGGTGAAAAGTAAACAGCCTGGAACAAATAGTAACCATGAAATGTTATCTCAAAAAGAGTAGATTCTTCAACCTCCTTTGTAGTTTGATGGAACCATATGATGGAGTTCTGATCAATGTAAAGTTAGTGCAAAGGAAGAAATAAACATTCTTAAATATGTTCCTATGTGAACGTCCCTTTTCTTACCCAATCTCTATCTCAAAGATGTCAAAGAGAAGGGCAAAAACACAAGTTGGGAAGAAATTAAGTTTCTGAATCTCCATTTGCAGAAAAGCTGTCAAGAACATCACCTAACCTTTTAAACTCCCATTGTTGTGTCATATGAAAGAAAAATGAAATGTGTTGTCTAAACCACTAACATTTTGAAATTTATTGTTACACAGTCTATTATGACAAACATGCATTTGTCATGGTGTTTGTCATGGATCTATTACACATGGCTGTTAGATTCTTACGAATTGTAAAACAACAGAAAAGTAGAACATTAGTTATATGTAGGTTCAGGGAGTAGTAGAATTTCCTCTTGTATAAATATGTTCTGAGTTTTGGAAGCTCAGTTATAAGTAAACTTTTGGAATGCAATCAATTCATGTGCTAGGGACTCTTTTAGAAGCAAAATTTGGCCAAGCAGATATAAGTAACCCTATCATTTGCCTCTTATGGAAAGTCAGTAATTTCTCAGAAAGATAAATTACTTACTCAATGCAAAATTTTAATTTGTTAATGAGCTTAGTGGCTAAATTCTGACTGAATCAACAACAACACCAAAAAAGATTTAAGATCCTCTTGAAAATATATGTATTGAGCTCACAATTTATCAAAAATATTTTCTGATCTTAATAACTTTTGAAAACATACTTTTGTATTACAATATAAAAGTAATATATTTCTAATCTGATAAAATAACAAGAGTCATACTGCATTTAACTCCAAAAGTAGCTGTTTCAGACTTAACTGCTAGTAGTTTTAAAACTTAAAATTTAATTTTTAAAGTGTTACTATTGGGTTGTTGGAAAAGTCATGACATATTTTTTCTATGTTTTTCATTGCAAAAATGTGTCATGACTTTTCCGAAAACCCAATATATGATTTATGTAGAATGCACACAATTTTTAATAGGCAAATGGAGAATAAGCTATTACAGTTCAATTTTTTATTTTTCAAACAAATCCTATATCCCTGAATCTTTGGTCTCTTCTATCATCTATAGCGAAGATATTTAAATCTTTGAGAATTAATCTGAGAATTAATGTCTGAGCTCTAAGAAACAATAATAGGACAAGGTCAGGAGAAGAAAATGAATCAGCAAAGGGAGGGGACTCAGGACAAAGGACAGTGAAGTAAGAGGTAGACAAGAGAGAATAGTGGCCTGAAAACCTAGTAAAGGTAACAATCAGTCAAGTAATGCTGATAGTTCAAATAAGACGAAGGCTGAAATTACCAGTGTACTCAGTAACGAATAGCGATTGATGATGTTGATATAAGCAGTTTTAAATGAGTGTTAAGAGTGAAATTATAATTAGGGAGGTTTTAAGAGTGATTAGATGCTGAGAAATGAGAGTCAATTCTAACAATGAGTATTTCTGGAAAGAGAAACAAGTTGAGTGGTAGTTGGAAGTAGATGTAGGCTGAGAGGATTTCTTAAAAAAAATATTTTTGAAGATATAAAGACCAAAAAAATGGTTATGGAAATAATCAAATAAAGGAAGGAGATCATTATTGACAATGTATTTAAGAAATGGGAGAGATGCTCAAACAATATCTTAGAACTGGTGAGCAGGAATGGATCTGTTGCACGGGGGAAGTTAATGGCTCCAGGTAAATGCATCGAGAATCCATCAAAAAGAACAGGAAATAAGGCAAAGAGTGTTGATGTAAATCCTGTCAGGTAGGTGGATTTAGTGATGGGAGTTGTGGAAGTACCTTTCTAAATGCTTTAATTTTATCTTTCAGTGAAATGTGATGTCAATTAATTAGACAATACTGAGCGTGAGAAGATATTGAAGATTGCAAGAGATGACTTCTTCTAGAATGGACCAGGAAATATGGTGTGGTCACTGGAAAATATAAGAGTTCACTTGGAAGATTTTATCATTAATTTAAAGTAAGACTAATTATACACTTTTGTATGTTTTTGCAGACATATTCAGCATGGGAGAAAGGAGAAAGTTGTAATTAACTAGGATTATGGTTTTGCCAAGTGAGTATGATGTATGTAGAGAAGGCAAGGAAGTTGAATTTTTATGTGATTGAGCACTTACACTAATTGATAATGTGCTACAAAGCTGGTAAGCAGGACAGAGAAAACAGGAAGAGAGGAAAGGAAAAATATAGCAGGCTAAATGGATCGAAGGTCCTGTTTAGGACAAATGTGCTGGTGTTGGCTGATCACATTCAGTATTACAGTCAAAGAATGGGGTTGTTTAAATGAAGGTTATAGAGTTGTAGTAATTGGTAAGGGCAAAAATAACTGGTTGTTAAGTGGCTGTAATAGGGTGGAGGTTAAAGCCATCGGAGGAAAGGCATTCAAGGAAATTGTGAGTTGAGGAAAATGAAACATGAACATGCCAAAAATTAGGACAGGAAAATTCCAGAGATAGTAACAGTAACTTGTGAGCTAAACTCATTGAGATATGTTGGGGATTGACTGAAGGTTTGGGAGATCACAGCAATAACATGAGGCAGTGAGGGAGTGACAAAGTCCAATGATGAGAATCAAGGCTGGATTCTTAGGAAGGAGGGAAGATATAGCAAGAGCAATGTGGTGTGCTGAGAATCCTACTTTGCTAGTAGGTGGTATGAAAACTGGCTAACAAATACAGAAAAGAACACAAAAGCCATTACTTGAGAAGGCGGCAGCAGTAGTGTCCTCAGGGGAGGGCCACATTTACATTATGTAAGAAGCTTTTATCTAAATTAAAAATCTTATCTTTACTCACTCCTACTAAAAATTTTTCAATGGTTTCCTGTTGCTTTTAGAAAAGGAGTTCCGATCTTTTAAATATGGCCTACAGCCCTTAGACCGACTGACTACTTCTGTCTTCAGGCCTGCCTCTTACCCGCTTTCCCTCTCTCACTCTTCCAGACTGAATAAATATCTATTAGTTATTTAGACCTACCATCATTTTTCTTCCTTTTTGGTTTTGGCACATTGTTGTTCCCTCTGTATAAAGATTTTATTTCTCTCCATGTCTCCCTTTTCTTGATTTAAAGGATTTCAGGTCTTATAAATATTACTTTGCTGAGAAGGCTTCCTTGTACATATATATTATGATTTAAAAATATATAACATTATGATTTCTTTGAATTGAATTTTTCTAAATATAGTTTGGACAATTTTAAAGGTATATTTTACAATTTCCACACAATAGTTTGTAGAGTACAAATAAGCCCATAAACTTCACATTGCTTATGTCCATATTACATATATACTTTATATAGTTATATTTCATTTATGTTATTTATTTTTAACTATGCTTAGTAAGCTTATTATTTAGCCTTAAAGCACCGTAGTGTGCATATCTTAAATAACAGGAAGAGAAATAACAGTATTTTACATAAAATGTACAGGTATTAATTTGATCAAAAATCTATGTCAAATATAATATCTTCTATGTCAAGCTTCTTGGCTTTTAATAGCCTTTGTCTATTTTATGCAGCTTTACTGTTATAAATAAGAATGTTCTTGCCTTCATATCTACAACAAACACGGTGACTGGTCTTTACAATTATCTAAAAAGGAAGCTATTTGATCACTGATGTCTGCATATATATGAAGGTTAAACTTGTCCAGAGAAGTAAACAAGGAAAACTGTGAAAAATGAAGATTTAATATGATATAAAGAGTAAAAGAAAAATTAGACTTGATTCTGTCTTTGACAGATATTTTCAATAATAATTATCTTCTAAGTTTTACTCAGTTTCATCAGAAAAAAATCCAAATGTTGATAGAGATTCCATAGGATAGATGCATTGGTGTTGAATATTTTAAATAAATGTAAATATCAAACCACCCTTGCAAATAATCTACCACTGAGCTTGTGTGCAGCCTAAGAAAAAGTCAGAATGGAAAAGTGATATTATTGACTGACGCCAATATGACAGTCAAGGATCATCAAAGTCATCAATAGGGATTTTGATAAAACAAGGCAAAAACAGCCACTATAACATAAACTTATTTTAAATCAACTCCTTTTGTTTTCTTAATTACAAAAGGCCTAAAAGTAATTTAAACAGTAATAAAAAAAACCGCTTAATTTCTACAGCACAACTCTATAGAGCATTTTATAATTTTAAGTAGCTCCTTCCAATTCTATATTAAAAATGAGGTCTGCAGACCAAATACAAATCTAATGCTTATGACATTACCGTGATAATCACATATAAAAATATATGATGTTATTTCCCAAATGTCAAAAAAATAAACAACCATAAAGCTACATTTTTTTTAATCCTAAACTATAGCTATCAACACCTGAATGAAAATTAATCACATTTATGTTTTAGAAAACCTATTTCAAATAAGGTTAAGTGCTCTGAGTTGAAAACACTGACCCCTGACCCCTGACTAGTATTTCACGTACCCCCTTATCTGAAGTTTTATCTACTTACAAGTACATTTGCTTTGCCGCTTAGTCCTTTCCCATAGTCGTCAGTTGCGATGACTTGAAACTTGAAATAGGACCTCCTCATGTTATGGAAGAGCATAGCAGTTTTGATAAGCCCTGTATAGGTTTCCACAACAAATCCTTCTTTTTCCTCTTTAATTGGTGGTATTATGAGCCTGTATGCCATGGCACTATAATTGCCAGTATCTTTATCAGTAGCCTAGAAGGGAAGAAACACAAGTTATAAATGATTAGGAAAAAAATCTTTATTAAAAGGCTTATTACCTATGTTCATAAGACTGATGTTCCTAGTGTAATAGTAATACATGAAAGCCCTCCTAAAAGTCTATGCTTCTCATTATTAGATTTACAGACTTTGTGTCCACAGGTTTGAATGGTTGTCATTAGAATAATAACTACTGAAGTGTGAATTAAAGGACATAGACACATCTATGAGTCAAGCGTTTTGATTGGCATATCAGATGGGTTCAGCTCTGGGCTGTGATCCAAATTCATTTAAGGATGGGATTCATTGTTTACCTAATCATTGTCTTATGTATACACATAGCATGTGATTGTATTTTTGTTTATCTAACCTATTTCCTAAAGGAGGAAAAATAAAATAAGGCATGAAAATACCTCAAAGGACAATAAGACAAATCAAATTTCAGAGCTTTTAACCAGCAATCCCAGAGATGCATACAGAGATTCTAATTAATGTTATATCATAATTAGAGAGGGTTAGAATATTAATCCAACTTCCTTTTTCATTATCCTGTATTCTGATTAACCAGATTTTTTCCTGGGGTAGGTACTTATGACTTACATGCTATGATTTCTTAACATTTAGAATTTTAAAAAGGTGAATAGTTGCTTAGTATATGTTGTGAGTGTGTGTGTGACAGGGGGAGTGTGTGTTTTTAATAAAGCTGTGAGCATAACCTATTAGGCTGACTTTATGGATTCTACTTCAGGGAAATTTTTCAGAATGACAATTTGGGAATTCTTTCATAGTGAAATATTTGGAAGTAGAGTGATTGATAGAAGAATCTTAGTGAGTTTACACAGGCTATATACATCTTACTCATTATAGTAGATATGTGATTTTTATGTTTTATTGTTGCTTTCATTGGTTATTCTTAGTTTAACCAATAAATTTATTATTAAATATAATATATTAAGCATTTGAGATTTGCCATTACAATGCTAATAATTCTACAAAATAATCTTATTTAATAAAAAAAACTCTCAGAGGAATGTATTTTATATATATACATCTATATATATACATCTATATATATACATCTATATATAGATGTATATATACATATGCTGTCCAACAGAACTCTCTGCAATGATGGAAATGCTGTAAATATGTTCTGATTACTGAATACTTGAAAGGAGGCTAATGTGACTAAGAAATTGACATTTTAGGGCCAGTCGAGTTATGCGTTGGTTAAGAGTTGTCTAGGGACACCAGCTCTGAGCAGCAGGGCCCCAGTTCGGATCACACATGAGGGCCAGTGATGTTGTGCCCTCTACAGCTAAGATGGTGAACAACAGTTCGACCTGGAGCTGGGCTGCCGTGAGTCACCAGCGATGGCATAGGCTGCAGTGGGGCTGCCATGAGCTACCATGAGTGGCCAGCAGCTGCCATAAGTGGCCGTCCAGAGGCTGGTGACCAGTCTGCCTCACCTGGGAGGAGCGCAGTGATGGAGTCAACATGGACCAGTGGGGTGACATCCTCCACAACTAAACTGAAGAACAAAAGGGCAGCAACTTGTCTGTTCCCCTTCCTCGATTTCCCCAACACTGTTCCCCTGCCCCAAATCCCCAATAAAATCTTTTAAAAAAAAAGACATTTTAATTTGGTTTAGTTTTAATTAAATTCAAATAGCCAAAGTCTACATAGTAAGTGGTAAAGTTGGGATATAATAATGATGATAATTGTAAATAATATAAATGTGTATTAACCTGCAGCATGAGCCTGACTTTCCAGCTTCAAATTTCATATATGTGCTTAACATTGTTAGAAAAGGTAACTTAAAAATCCCAGATACTTCACATCAGGGTAAAGTATTCTTGACTTTTCTAAGAGGTTAAAATTCTCAGTTTTAGAACAGGAGTAGCTCCGACTACTAGCTTATCTTTTTAGACGATCTGTATGGTTTACATAATGGCAGAACTTAGTATTGGCATTAAAGGAATGGTCATTAGATTTCAACATAAGGTCAGATTGTTACTTAAAGGGGAGAAAAAGAACAAAGGAAAAATAGTTATCAAAGTTTTTCTTCTTAAGCTTTGAACCCTAGAATTTTTATTCATTTAACAAAGCATAGCATAAGAAATAAAAAGCACATTCTCAACTAAAGTTAAAATCAGAGTTTTAATCAAGTAATTAAAGACATTTCTTTTACATACTATGAGCCAATTTGGGACTAATGCCAACTCAAAGATTTGGTTCAGCATTATCCTTTTTATGATTAACACAGGCATTTCTCTTGAAATAATCTTTTTACTGTTAATGCAAATTTATTCAGGTATAATATTCAACAACAAAAAAAGTTTAAATCTTAAGTGTACAGTTCAATAAAATTTTGCAAAATATACACATCCATGAGGCCAACACCTTCATCAAGAAATACAACATGACCAGCATCCCAGAATGTCCTTCATGTCCTTCCAGTCAGACCCAACTCCCCAGGAAAATCACAATCCTGATTTCTAACAGTATGGATTAGTTATTCCTCTTTTTAAGCTTTGTATGGATGAGATCATAATATATGTTCTGTTTTCTGTCTGACATTTTTCAATTTTGTGTTGTGAGATTCTAAACCTTTATATTTTAAAATAAACCCTGTAATACAACATGATCATTTAGAAAAGAAAAGGTGGTTACAATAAAGTCATTATGACTGCTTGGTACATTAAGCTTCTTTGCACAGTTCTTGCTGATTTACTTATAATTTCAATGAACAAGTAATTTCACTTTAGAGTATTGCTAATTTATTAATATGATAACCGTGAAATAGCCATATTTTAGTTTAACAGATTAAGGTGCTCTTTTAACATACCCTCCCTGAAACAAATATCATTTAATGCAAAAGTTTGAGTATAGAATTAATAGTTATAACTCAGGAACATCTATTTTCTTTTGTGATTTTTCATAACATATTTGGAGTAAATTTTCAAAAATAATTTCAGGGTTTAAAAATTCATGTTTACATTTATATTCAAAAATATAAAACTCTACTGTCAGTATGTTCTTAGTAACGACTCTATTTAAATTTCTATTTCTTTGAATGGGCTTGGTCTTCTTTGAAATTTGAAAGCTCTCATTTCTGAAAACACTCATTGAGGATGGTTGCCATGGTCATTAGCATTCTTGCAAATCTCCCTGCTCTCTCTCAAGTATATATAGTGGAATGCTACTAGTAAGTCAAACAGTGATTGATAAAAATTCCAGTAGGTACTATATTTAGCAATTTAAAGGGTTTTCAAGTTTAATGTTGAGTCTGTTCAATTTTCAACAACCAATGGATTTAAGACTGAAACCTATGTATAAGATGTGACTGATAGATGTTGAGTATATATGTTACAATCATACACAGTTAACAATCAAATGTTCTTATTATGAAATCAATTAAAAGATATGATGTATTTAAATACATATCAGGTAACAAAAAATTACAACAAAATTAAGGACACAATTTTAAATATGGTTCAAGATGTGAAAAAAGAGAGTTGCAGCACAGAGTGTATTGTATCAATATGTTCCTACTTTTAATAACTTTAATTTAACATTTTTTTTTATATTGTGTCTTGGAGATGTGGACTCAAAAGTCAGATGTCAACAAAATTAATCACTCAGAGTTTTAGGTTTCTTTAGAAAATGAGAAGAATATTGATCAAAGGTACTATTTAATATATTATATAGCCAAGTACAATATGATGACATAATTATCTAACTTTTATCATATCAAATAATTATCATATCAAATAATTAACGTTTTTAATGCATGACATTTACCAATTAATATGCAAATTTAAGCACAAAAATCAATGAACACTCTTAGTACTTCAGACATATTATGATAAGATTGTAACTCTCTTAATATAATGCATTAATCAATTTTTTCCTTATTCAGCTCAAGATGCATATACTTTGATCTCTCTCTCTCTCTCTATATATATGTATACATATATATATACGCATATATACTTTTCTTCCCTTTCTTTCCCAGTTTTTCTTATTGTTTCCTCATCAATCAATCATGCACAACCTCCTCCTCAACTGAAATCCATGCATTTATATGTAGCACACATTTTACCCTTCCTTGTTGCTGACTATAATGAGGCTGGAGGTATCTAGCTGTCGGTCTACCTCTTCATTCTGTATGGGTTTTAATGTTTACATAGATGACACACCCAATAAACCATTTCAAATTCTTAGTCATGAAACATTTTATCAATCTTTAACTGCCTTACTGCATCAATTCAATGCCATAAGTACATTCTAGTTTTTTGGTGTATGGAGACACCTGCTCCTAAGGAAACACTCCATTTCTGGAGGCATGAGCTTTAATGTATAAATTTCTGACCACAACCTCCCATGACTTTCTTATTCAGTTAAGACTTCTTCTTTGATAACAGTGAATTTTTAGTTCCACAAAAACCATCTTTGCCTTCATTACTTCAGGGCTTACGTTCCTTGCCTCTCCATCATAGATTTCACAGTCACATTGTTCTCATTTTTTTTGTACTTCCACACCTGGAACTTCCTCCTCTTAAATCAATGTAACCACCAACCTACTCCTGGATGACTGAAGAATAATGAAAGAAATGAAATAATCAGGTGACTAAAGTTCTAATGGTGCTAAAAGCCCATGACCTCTGAGTGCAAACATGCTTTTATAGGAAATTTTCTACTCTATGTTCTTTGTCTCACTCCAAAAGTTCACCCTTTTCTTCTAATCACATATTTTTTTCAGTCTCCTTCAGTGGTGAGGAAGCTGTGGTTCACATAAATATTGAGGCTATCAGTGTGAAATCTCTCATCTTCTCAAACTATAACTATAAAACTATCTATATCTGCACTTACTGTCTTTCTTCAAGTCTCAGAGGAACAAAATGACTCTTCTCTCTAGAGAAGGTACTTATTTATGCCTTCATCGGAATCTTTCCCAACTCTTCTGCATTTAATGCTTCATCATTTCTATC